GGAAGTGCAAATTAAAAGTAACAATCATAATAATAATGATAATAATCTAAGCATTTTGAACACTGTGAATCTTTGGCAACCAGTTTAATCAATATTTCCAGTTGTTTTTCCCGAGATTGGATCCACTATGATGTTACACAAGTAGAATTATTGGCACAAAACTCGGGAATGGTCATTATGGAGTTCCAGTTCTTGTATACTGAAGAAATGTCTAGTTAAAGCAGCCAATACTCCAGAAATCACGCAAGAATACAGATATTTATTTATTAAGTAGCATGTTAGTCATTGTCAATATTTTGGTGGTTATTTTTGCTGTTGCTTTAATTTGTTTTTTTTATCATACAAGTGATTACCAGGAATGAATTTATTTTTGTAATCATCAGTGGCTATCTATTACGGTGGCATCAAAGTCTATGTTTATAGATATATGAATAAATAGATACAAATTTAGATGCACCTGAATATATCAGTAGCAGCAACCCTGCACACACAGACAAATATTTCCCCCTTTTTGTGTTACTTAACATTGAAGACGAGCAAAAACCTAACAAATATATCCTTCGCATGGTCCTTGTTTGGTAACACCACGCCTATAAAGCAGCCATTGCTAGAATGCCACCTCAGTCCACTTCTGTTCTCGCTGCAGTCAACAAGCTCTCTCCAAAATGGTAACACATCATTGCTTGATATTAGCGTTCAGTCTTTGAATTCCTTTGATACTTACCAGTGTAATATTGTACATATGATTATATCTGCATTTATGCATCTTTTATAAATCCGTCTGTTTATTTATATGTTTACCTGTGTGTGTAAGACAGCGCGAGAGATAGGAAACTTTTGGACACAGTGAAGGGTGCAACCCGTTTTTCTTCCTCTCTTTGCCTTCCGACCAGATGAGCTATTATTAGAGGCTGCAGCCTATGAAAATAAGTTGCTTATAGCAATATCAATGATAATGATGATATAAGATCATTATACTTGTAGTGATAATGAATAAATAAATAGTAAAAATCATAACGGTCAGTACCACCACGATATACATATATAGAAGCTTTAGTGCAAGTGTAGCTATAATAATATCACATGTAATAATATTCAGTATTAGCTACGACTGTTACGAGTACTGTCGCATTTATATTATCACAATGTGATAATAATATATATTTAGACATCTGCGTTCATAAATACAGCCGTATATGAACGATCTATATTTTTAAAATGTAATTCAGCTTGAATTAAATCAGTAAACTAAAATGTAAATAGAAATAATAATGTCATATTGCGATGCAGGTTTCTCGTGTCGTGTTCGCCTGCTTGGTCGTCCTTCTGCTGGCTGCCTGCGCCTTGGCCTTCCCTGACCCGAGCGGAGGATACCCAGTCCGCAGCCATGGATTTGGACCCGGATACGGACACGTAGGGCACGGACATGGGTATGGGAGCCACCCTGTACAGACTTTAACCCTAGGCGGTTATGGCAACGGATACGGACACAGGCCGACGTACTAGTGAGAGGTAACATGTTACGGAATATTCATTATTTCTCCCAGCTGCTAATCATTAATAAAAAGTAGAACTTCATCATTTTCCAAAACTGCATAGTTTATATATATATAATCTGCCCCTGTGTATTTCAAGTTTTTTGGAATTTATTCGTGGTATTTTTTTTTTTTTTTCCTCTTCACATCCGAACACAGAAAAGGAGAGAGAAAAAGACAAGACAACTAAGAAAATTTTCCTAATTCTTCTCTGGTCTTCCTTCCACCTCCAGTTAGATGCTGTCCTTGGATTCTGCCTCCAGTGACACGATGGGAAAAAGATTTTAGCAAAATAATGAACGAGGGTCAAACAACCAGCTCTTTCTCCTCCTTTCTCTTGCAATAAAAGTTGGATTTTCCTTCAACAATGTATTGGATTTTTATCCCCCAATAACGTTCGCATTTCCAGCTGGTAAACTACGACTATATAAAAAATATCATGTATACTACGTGTACAGAGTGAATGCAAAATGCATCAGGAATCGTGTCACCTAAGTCCTTTTCTTGATATTTTCTGTCATTCAGACAGATTTTCCACATTTGTCATCAGCGGACGTTGTTAGGGGTATGTCTAGAACCTGGATGAATGGCGCTGCCGCCCGCTGAATGGTGGTTCTCCAAGATACTTCAAGCTATTGGGTTGCTCGAGTTACTTTTGCTTGAGCTTTAGTGTGTTTTTAAGTTATGAAAAAAGAAATAGAGAAGGGGAGGAGAGACAGGATTAGAGAAAGAAAATAAGGACAGAAAAAAAGAGATTAGAGCAAGAGAAAGAAGTACGAGAGTAAAGGCCCGGTCCCACTGAAGATAGGATGAACTGAGAATGAATTGCGGATACACATTTTGTGAAAATTTGGCTATTCGTTTTCATCCGCAACAAAAATTACCAAATTTTCCGCACTAGGTGTGCAGATGTATTACGGAAATATTCATAACGTATTGCGAATATGTTACGAAAAACAACGTATGTCAGAGTTGTTGCATTCAAACTGGTAATCCTTGATGAATGTATCACGAATATTGCGAATACATAAAGAACAACCAAATCGGATGGACTGCGAATACGTGTATTGCGTATTTATTGCGTATGTACAGTGGATGTATTCAGGATACTGTGGTTCTATTGCGCATGCTCGTGCAGATCTATAGGCCTATATAATTATCAATGTTTGGCAGTTGCCATCATATCCGTCATTCTTACACAGACAGCATGTTCGCCAGAAAGAAACGTGGTCGAAGCAACAAGGCCCGAACAGCACCCAGTAGCCAAAACCGTAATAAGATGGTTAAAAGGAGGCATATGGCTGGTGATGAAAATGAAGAGAGGCCCCTGTCTCCAATCCCACCCACGTCAGCTGAAGAGAGGGCCCAGTCTGTGAGCCCTCCCACTTTACCTGAAGATAGGGCTCAGTCCATCACCCCACCCACTCCAGATAAAGAGTACCCAGTCTGGTCATTGTGGTGCTGGTGCTGATAAAAATGTCCAGGAAGTAGTAGTTTTATAGTATTTTTGGTGTACGTTAAATGTCCGGTATCTATTCGTTAATTGTTCGCAAATCGGACGCAAATTAGACACAATGTGAAAATATTATAAGTAATAAATTATTTTAGTTCGTATTATGGACGTGATAGGGACGCTCTTCATACTCAATACATACTCTCCCAATTCACAATGACCCGTAAAAAAGGATAAGAGTGGATAACAGCGTATGTATTGCGTACGCGTTATGTATGTATTGCGCATGTTTTACTCAAGTATTGCGTGTTTATTGAGGATGTCATCCGCAACCAAAATTTTGTGCAGCTCAAAAATTTAGAAAACGGAAAAAAACGTTTTTGCGGATGTGTGCGGACGCTAAAAGATTTAATAAAGCATGTATCACGAATATTGCGTATGTTTAACGAATATCGACGAAATTTGGTCGCAGTTCATGCGCAATGCATCCTAAACGCCAGTGGGACCGGGACTTAAAAGAGAGATACAAAACAGCTATCAAAAAGAGCAGAGATATAAAATAATTTCCTTCCATCACAGATTAACCAGACAACCATTACAAAGGGTGCCATACGTACTTAACATCCATATAAAGCACTGAGCTCGAAATCGGTAACTCAGTGCTACCCAATTTCGTGCAAAATCATTTCCAAGGAAATACGAATCTTAAATAATAATAATAATAGTAATAGCGATAATAATATAAGCATCTTGAACACTGTGCATCTTTGGCAACCGGTATAATAGATATTTGGCTTCACACGTGTCTCTTTTATCTCTTAATTCTTTACTTCTATAAATATACAATCTTTACTAAGGTTTGTGTGTGCTTATACACACGCATGTACACACATAGTATTTCAAGTTCTTTGATTACATAGGAATCAATACACGAGTTTCAGCAGAAAAAAATAAATAAATAAAAGTCATAAGAAATTTATATAAATGTATAAGGATAATTAGAATATATACGCACTGGCAACAGTCGGACAGATCATTAAAAAGCATCATCTTTATAATGAAATAAAGGAACCTGAAAAAAAGTAACCGCTTCATTAAAGGGAAAGAAAGCACAGCATAACAAACGTTGAGTGAAATCAGTGCACAAAGAACGTAATTACATTAAGGAATAGAAATCCGTTATGATAATGAACAAAAACAACTAAACATACGAAATATTCTTGTACAAAAGTTCAGCGTATCTATTTATATATTGAGAGGTATATATTTATACAGGCATATTAGCATAGATATACACATAAATATATATGCATAGAGAAAAAAAGAGAAACACAAATAGACATACAGGAGAGAGACGCCTCGCCTATTTACACACCAACGACCTTGTAAACAAGGATGCAAGCCTCGAGCTTTTCCCGATCAGGAATTCTATCACGCAAATGATGTCATCCACGTCGCCGCTCTATCGTCACGTAAGGATACGATAATCTTTATAAAAGTTGCCTTTAATATCCGACTATTAAGTGCTTCATTCAGTACTATGGTGGCTCAGTGAATGGTACTTTTACAAAATATATCGGTAATAATTTGAAAGACATTCCTGCGTTCGTGAGAGTTTAAGTCTTGCGAACCGTTGTACTAACTGGACAGGTTGAGGTTGAGGCTTTCATGGTTACCGTCTCTTCAGCATATTCGAAACACGAATGAATATAGGATGCCATGGATTTCAAGTTACATGATTTGCTTTATTTTAATATGTTGAGTAATGAAAAGGCAATCATCAGTGGCTATCTATTACGGTGACATCAAAGTCTATGTTTATAGATATATAAATAATAGATACAAATCTAGATGCAGCTAAATATATCAGTAGCAACTCTTCACAGACAAATATTTCCTACTTTTTCTGTTACCTAACATTGAAGACGAGCAAAAACCTAATAAATATATCCTTCGGATGGTCCTTGTTTGGTTACACCACGCCTATAAAAGCAGCCACTGCAAGAATACCACCTGAGTCCACTTCTGTTCTCGCTGCAGTCAACAAGCTCTCTCCAAAATGGTAACACATGTCTGCATCTATGTATTTTTTATAAATCCGTCTGTTTATTTATGTTTATCTGTGTGTAAGACAGCGCGAGAGAGATAGGAAACTTTTGGACACAGTGAAGGCCGCAACCCGTTTTTCTTCCTCTCTTCGCCTTCCGACCAGATGAGCTATTATTAGAGGCTGCAGCCTATGAAAATAAGTTGCTTATAGCAATATCAATGACAATGATGATATAAGATCATTATATTTGTAGTGATAATGAATAAATAAATAGAAATCATAACGGTCAGTACCACCACGACATACATATATAGAAGCTTTAGTGCAAGTGTAGTTATAATAATATCACATGTAATAATATTCAGTATTAGCTACGACTGTTACGAGTACTGTTGCATTTATATTATCACAATGATTATACCTTTTACCAAAAGTGTCATGCAGAAAATATATATTTAGACATCTGCGTTCATAAATACAGCCGTATATGAACGATCTATATTTTAAAAATGTTATGCAGCTTGAATTAAATCAGTAAACTAAAATGTAAATAGAAATAATAATGTCCATATTGCGATTTTTTTTTTTTTTTTTTTTAAGATTCGCGAGGCAGAGCCTCGCCCGGGCTATGCCTATTTGGGGAGCCCGGTCTACTACTACTTCATATTGCGATGCAGGTTTCTCGTGTCGTGTTCGCCTGCTTGGTCGTCCTTCTGCTGGCTGCTTGCGCCTTGGCCTTCCCTGACCCGAGCGGAGGATACCCAGTCCGCACCCATGGATTTGGACCCGGATACGGACACGTAGGGCACGGACATGGGTATGGGAGCCACCCTGTACAGACTTTAACCCTAGGCGGTTATGGTAACGGATACGGACACAGGCCGACGTACTAGTGAGAGGTAACATGTTACGGAATATTCATTATTTCTCCCAGCTGCTAATCATTAATAAAAAGTAGAACTTCATCATTTTCCAAAACTGCATAGTTTATACATATATAATCTGCCCCTGTGTATTTCAAGTTTTTTTGGAATTTATTCGTGGTATTTTTTTTTTTTTCCTCTTCACATCCGAACACAGAAAAGGAGAGAGAAAAAGACAAGACAACTAAGAAAATTTTCCTAATTCTTCTCTGGTCTTCCTTCCACCTCCAGTTAGATGCTGTCCTTGGATTCTGCCTCCAGTAACACGATGGGAAAAAGATTTTAGCAAAATAATGAACGAGGGTCAAACAACCAGCTCTTTCTCCTCCTTTCTCTTACAGTCTGTCTAATTGGTCTCTGTCTTGTTTACAATAAAAGTTGGATTTTCCTTCAACAATGTATTGGATTTTTATCCCCCAATAACGTTCGCATTTCCAGCTGGTAAACTACGACTATATAACAAATATCATGTATACTGCGTGTACAGAGTGAATGCAAAATACATCAGGAATCGTGTCACCTAAGTCCTTTTCTTGATCTTTTCTGTCATTCAGACAGATTTTCCACATTTGTCATCAGCAGACGTTGTTAGGGGTATGTCTAGAACCTGGATGAATGGCGCTGCCGCCTGCTGAATGGTGGTTCTCCAAGATATTTCAAGCTATTGGGTTGCTCGAGTTACTTTTGCTTGAGCTTTAGTGTGTCTTTAAGTTATGAAAAAAGAAATAGAGAAGGGGAGGAGAGACAGGATTAGGGAAAGAAAATAAGGACAGAAAAAAAAGAGATTAGAGCAAGAGAAAGAAGTACGAGAGTAAAAGAGAGATACAAAACAGATATCCAAAAGAGCAGTGATACAAAATGATAATTCCCTTCCTTCACAGATTAACCAGACAACCATTACAAAGGGTGCCATACGTACTTAACATCCATATAAAGCACGGAGCTCGAAATCGGTGACTCAGTGCTACCCAATTTCGTGCAAAATCATTACCAAGGAAGTGAAAATTAAAAGTAACAATCATAATAGTGATGATAATAACCTAGGCATCTTGAACACTGTGGATCTTTGGAAACCAGTTTTAAAAATATTTGGCTTCACACGTGTCTCTTTTGTCTCTTAATTCCTTATTTTTATAAACATATAAACTTTTCTTTGTGTGTGAGTAAACACATGCATGTACACATAGAATTTCCAGTTCCTTGATTACATAGGGATCAATACACGAGTTTCAATAGAAAAAAATAAATATTAAAAGTTATAACAAATTTATATAAATGTATAAGGATAATTAAAAATATACGCACTGGCAACAATCGTACAGATCATTAAAAAGCATCATTGTTATAATGACATAAAGGAACCTGAAAAAAGTAACAGCGCTTTATTAAAGGGAAAGAAAGCACAGCATAATGTTGAGTGAAATCAATGCACAAAGAACAAACGCGAATCATAATGCAATCACATTAAGGAATAGAAATCCGTTATGATAATGAACAAAAACAACTAAACATACGAAATATTCTTGTACAAAAGTTCAGCGTATCCATTTATATATTCAGAGGTATGTATTTACACAGGCACATTAGCATAAATATACACATAAATATATATAATAGAGAAAAAAAGAGAAATAAATAGACATACAAGAGAGAGACGCCTCGCCTATTTACACACCAACGACCTTGTAAACAAGGATGCAAGCCTCGAGCTTTTCCCGATCAGGAATTCTATCACGCAAATGATGTCATCCTCGTCGCCGCTCTTTCGTCACGTAAGGATATGATAATCTTTATAAAAGTTGCCTTTAATATCCGACTATTAAGTGCTTCATTCAATACTATGGTGGCTCAGTGAATGGCACTTTTACAAAATACATCAGTAATAATTTGAAAGACATCCCTGCGTTCATGAGAGTTTAAGTCTTGCGAACCGTTGTACTAACTGGACAGGTTGAAGTTGAGGCTTCCATGGTTACCGTCTCTTCAGCATATTCGAAACACGAATGAATATAGGATGCCGTGGATTTCAGGTTACATGATTTGCTTTATTTTATGTTGGGTAATGAAAAGGCCAAAAAAAAATGTTCAGCCATGTAGTGCAAATATCATGTGCTGCTCTTACCAGTTAATATCAATATATATTAATATCGTTCGTATGTATACCATCTACCTTTTAAATCCTAATACAATAAACATGACCAGTACGAGTCAGTTGATTAGAATAAGATAAAAAAAAAAAATCCTAACATGAAATGAAAGTGAAAAATAAAAGAATGAAAAATTAACTTGGCAAATCGGGGGGCTACGAAGTTGCCAGTTGTTTTTTTCCGATATTGGATCCATTATAGTGTTACACAAGTCGAATCATTCGCACAAAACTCGGGAATGGTCATTATGGAGTTCCAGTTCTTATATACTGAGGAACTGTCTAGTTAAAGCAGCCAACACTCCAGAAATCACGCAAGAATACAGATATTTATTTATTATGTAGCATGTTAGTCATTGTCAATATTATTTTGGTTATTTTTGCTGTTGCTTCAATTTATTGTTTATCATACAGGTGATTACCAGCACTGAATTTACTTCTGCAATCATCAGTGGCTATCTATTACGGTGACATCAAAGTCTATGTTTATAGATATATAAATAATAGATACAAATCTAGATGTAGCTAAATATATCAGTAGCAACTCTTCATAGACAAATATTTCCTACTTTTTCTGTTACCTAACAATGAAGACGAGCAAAAACTTCGGATGGTCCTTGTTTGACAACACCACGCCTATAAAGCAGCCATTGCTAGAACGCCACCTGAGTCCACTTCTGTTCTCGCTGCAGTCAACAAGCTCTCTCCAAAATGGTAACACATCATTGCTTGATATTAGCGTTCAGTCTTTGAATCCCTTTCGTACTTAGCAGTGTGATATTGTAGGTATGATTATATCTGCATCTATGTAACTTTTATCTATCCGTCCGTTTATTTATCTGTATGTGTAAGACAGCGAGAAAGAGAGGACAATATTGGACACAGTGAAGGTCGCAACCCGTTTTTTTTCCTCTCTTTGCCTTCCGACCAGATGAGCTATCATTAGAGGCTGCAGCCTATGAAAATAAGATGCTTATAGCAATATCAATGACAATGATGATAGAAAATAATAATTGTAGTGATAATGACTAAATAAATAGTAACAATCATAACGGTAAGTACCACCACGATAAACATATATATAAGCTTCAGTGCAAGTATAGCTATAATAATATCATGTATAAAAATAATCAGTATTAGCTGCGACTGTTGCGAGTACTGTCGCATTTATATCATCACAATGGTTATACCTTTTACGAAAAGTGTCATGCAGAAAATATATATTTAGACATCTGCATTCATAAATACAGCCGTATATGAACGATCTATATTCAAAAAACGTAATTTAGCTTGAATTAAATTAGTGAATTAAAACGTAAATATAAATAATAATGTCATATTGCGATGTAGGTTTCTCGTGTCGTGTTCGCCTGCTTGGCCGTAATTCTGCTGGCTGCCTGCGCCTTGGCCTTCCCTGACCCGAGCGGAGGATGCATACACGAAAGCCACGGATACAGATATGGGTATGGCGGCTACCATGCCACTTTAGCAAAGTGTAATAGTAAAAATATTAAATGCTTATATTCGTAATTAGGGACCAGCTACGTTGTGTTTACATTAGAGCATTAGAAGAACAAGAAGTACATGGCGCTTAAAATGCAAGTTTGAATTATTTGGTGAACAAAGAAAGTGTTGACATGTGAATTCGTTCTATGTATATTGGTAGTGATAGCTCATCTCGTTTATGCCATCTTGTTCCAATAAATCCACGAAGTAGGCGGTGTTCTTCAAACAACCATCACTGAAGAACGAGATCATGTCTTTCTTGTCATGGGAAGACGTCTCTACGTCACACACACATTTATGAGTATTATGTACATATTCATCCATTGATATTTGCGTATATCTACGATTGTGTGAATAAAATCAGGCAAGCCATATAAACAAAGTGTAAACAATTGCATTGTGATTTTTGGCAATTCGCATTTATTTTGAAATCGCTTGCATAAACTATTTGTAAATTTATTCTAACTCTTTACTATGCTTTCTTGTTTTTTTCTTTTCATGCACATTGTAATTACCTCGTTTGACCAACAACTAAAATTCACTCACAACTTTTTAAGAAGACAGCACCCCTCTTGTAGCATCGTTCTTTGCTCAATAAAAACGAAAGCATCGTATTTTGTTCGCTGAATATGAATCAGTATGAATGCATTTATAAAAATAACAATAATGATAATAATAATAATAATGATAATAATAATGATAATAATAGTGATAATAATAATAATGATAATAATAATACCCCGAGATATTCACAATATTCAATACGTGCAACATGAATGTAAATACTACGATATTGAAATCTGAAAAAAAAAAAAAATGAAACATTGTCCATGGGCATATCAGCAAAGGTAGAATACTATTAACAAAAATACACTGCCAAACTAACATCTACGTTCAATACAAATGAGAACATAAAAAATGACATCCTGCGTAAAACTTTTTCTGTTCCTCCGAAACTAGTGGGCCAGAGAAGGGAAGCCTTGCAAAACCTGTCATTGCATAAGATTAGTGAATCAAGGTCACGGGGTAGTCATGTTTGCATATATATATGCATGTGTGTCTATCTGTATGTGTATTTCAATACATATACATACAAATACACATAAATCTATTCATTTGCATATATCGGTACTAAGTCAACAATGTAATGATAATCACTACCGCAACAACGTATAGATATATATATTTAATCCGTGTTGAAATTTTACCGCAATCACTTCAGTCAAGAACACATGACATTTACGTATCCCAAATAAAAATGACATCCTGCGTAAAACTTTTTCTGTTCCTCCGAAACTAGTGGGCCAGAGAAGGGAAGCCTTGCAAAACCTGTCATTGCATAAGATTAGTGAATCAAGGTCACGGGGTAGTCTTGCATATATCGGTACTAAGTCAACAATGTAATGGTAATCACTACCGCAACAACGTATAGATATATATATTTTATCCGTGTATAAATTTTATCGTAATCACTATAATCAAGAACACATGACATTTACGTATCCAATACACAGTGAGATTACACAAATTTTCCAGTAAAATGTCGCTTTTTTTCTAACACGATAAGTAATGACAGACTAGAAGAAAATACCATAGTTGCCAACTAGTCAAATAACAGTATAAAAAGGGGCTCGAGCGCATTGCAGCATAGTTAGCAACAGCAGTCATTCAGCATCTCTCACCCACAAGGGTAAGATGAAGTATTTTGTCTTAGCACTGAATATCCATTTATTTTCTAACTTATCTTTTCTCGAGGTTTGAAATATCGAATAAAGATATATATCTGATCTTAATAACACACGATTTAGCACTGTGTGGTGTACGTGGCGATAGAATTTGGAAATTTTCCTCGAAGTATATATACTCTTGAATGAATTTGCGATATTTCAGTAGGCTGTATTTTCTCTCGTTCCGCTAACTTAGTTACTGGTGGAAGAGACAGGCAAATATTGAAGAGAGTGAGAGAGAAGCGAGAGCGAAAGAACTATATATTACTAACGTTTCGATAAGTAAATCCTCGCATTTCCACAATGCCACTAAGACCTAATATGAACAGGTAACCTAAGATTATCCCGCACTCTTCAAATCATTAATCCAACTCACCTACTTTTGTCCATCCGTCATAATAGATCCTGCAAATCCTCCTGCAGATTAACCGTGTCCTGCTGGTCGTGTTGGTGGTCGTAGTCCTGTCGGCTTCGACACTGGCCCTTCCTGAGGCAAGTCGTCGACTCTCGGTCGGCCTGTACGGAGGTTACGGAGGATATGGCCTTGGAGGATTGGGCTACGGAGGCTATGGAGGCTATGGAGGCTATGGAGGCTACGGACACTTCCAATACGGTTACTACTATGACTAGGTAAGTTGAGGAGTCATGTCTAAGGTCTAATATGTATGGATGTCTCAGTCTTAAGAATTGCTTTGCTTGTTTTTTTCTGTTTTGTCAGTTGTACATAGCTTTGTGTTTTTTTGTTGTTGTTTTTTCTGTAGAAATAGAGAGGGGATAAGAGAGAGACAGAAAGTGTAAGCACAGATAAAAGGAGATTAGAGAAAGTAGAGAACTAGAGTAAAATAAAGAGATAAATACAAATTAGCAGACATCCAAAAGTAAAGACACATGCAAAGTGATAACTTTTTTCCCTTCACAGATTAACCAATCAACCATAGCAAAGGATGCCGCATGTACTTATCCTCCATATAAAGCATATAATAAGGCTCGAAATCGTCAACTCAGTGCTACCTAACTTCGTCCGAAGGAAATACGACTTTTTAAAAGAAAACAAAAAGAAATTAAGCATTTTAAACACTGTGGATCTTTGGCAATCAGTCTAATAAATGTTTGGCTTTGCATGTACCTCTCTTTAATTCTTCATAACTATGTGTAAACCTTACTAGTGTTCGTGTGCGATTATATACACACGCATGCACACATATTCATATATGCATATACATATATATGCATAAATATTGGTAGATATTTCATAAAATAATGCAAATTGCCGCACAGGATCCATTATTACAGAATACATTTTCTCACAACTTTTAGAGTTAGGGGACCTAAAATAGTTTCCTGAGCAAAAAGATGCTTTACAAGTTTTATGATTGACACGAGTGTTCGAGTAAAAGATGTAATGATGATATCTGTTTATATATATGCATATCACAGTCTATTCACACACACACACACATACACATGTGTATGTGTGTGTGTGAATATACATAGTTATACATATATCTATATGCATACATATTTATATACATGTATATGTATGTATATATATACATATATATGTATATATTTACTTATATATATATATGTATATATATATAATCAAATGTATGTGTTTCTATATATATACATATATATATATATATATATATATATATATATATATATATATATATGTATACACGTACACACACATATACATATATATGCATAAATGCATACACGTACGTATATGTATATATGTACATATGTATGTGTATATATGTATATATATATATACATGTATAGACACGCACACCCATACACTTATGAATATATATATGTATATATGCAGCATTACACAATACATATATATACACATATGTATCTGCATATGTATATATATATATATATATATATATATATATATATCGATGACCGTACTAAATCTAAGGCAGGGGAATCTTCCTGACCCCACGAAACGGCACTTGGGATACGGCTTGTACGGAGGATACGGAGGATACGGCCTTATCATATATGGGTCTTATGTATTCATATTATTCATGAGTTCACATAGTGTGTATATTGATGAATAAACACACACACACAAACATAAGGGAAAAAATACCCTGACGGTTAAGAGAAGCTTTTATTTTGGTACAATGGGATGCATTGTTCTTATACTAACATTCCTCAGAGCGACATATACCCTAAATCAAGTTGGTGCTTTAGAATAATTCAAAATGGTCTCAGATCGGAAATGGGAACCAGGCACAAAGCACAAAGAAAGCAAATAAATAAAAAATCAAATGATATACATAATGAAAAAAATTATTATTATGATAATAACAATAATAACGATATGAATAACGCAGACAGAACACAGAAAAGGAAATAACATACACGCCCTCTGTCCCAGGGTTTCGGAATTTTGCTAGTCAAGGAAAACGTTAAAAAATAAATAGAGCAGATTAATATTCGTTGGAATTTATCATAAAGTAGGAATAATTCCCTGCGAGTTTTTGAATTCTGTAGAATATAGAAGATGCAATGTAAGAATCGTATAGTAAAATCAAGATGATCATCTTGCTCTGTAAACCATATATTATTCATTTATTTTGTAAAGTAAAATACTGTACGACAATTCCCATTACGTCACAGCAGTGGGCGGAGCTTAGCAGCGTATCTCGTCTTCGATCACGAGACAGGTTTTGGGTGTCGCGAGATTCGCACAACACCCTAATTGCCTCCGGAAAAGATGGCAATCTCTCTGTATATACATATATGTGTATATAGCTTTATATATACTTATGAATATATATATTCATATATTCAGTATATATATGCTATATATATATAGTTTTTGTGTATACCATATATGCACATATATATATGATATACTTATGTATAAGTATATATGTACTGTATGTACATATATCTATGTATAAAGCTATATATAACAATGCATATGCATATATACATAGACTTATTTATACTGTATTAATGAATGTATACATACATTCATATATGTATATACAGTATATATATTCTTATATACATTCGTATGTGTATACAATATATATATGTATATATATTCTGATATTTATATACATATACATAATGTGTGCAACTATAGTATACATACACATACATATGCCCAGACATACATGCATGTGTAAGATTATAGTATATATATGGCACACATACATATTTATATATATATTGTTGGTTTGTATTCATGTTACAATATTTAGCCACGTTAAAGAGTAGTAATTATAATACTTTTATATTAGCACTATGAATATAAAGGCATAAGGCTTGAGCAATTACCACTACTTCGCAAAAATAAAGTTTTATTGAAGACGAAGATACAGAGATAACTTAACACCCGGTGTACCACCATCTGCCAAAAAAAAAAAAAAAAAAAAATGAAAATAAGAAATCTTCAGTATTATACAGTTCAACTAAAGAAAATCTGAATAAGGATTCACGATATAAAATATATAAAAAAAATAGAAAAGTGTTGCCAAAGTCCTCACCTATCCGTAGTAGGATCCGTAATAAGGATAGCGGGATCCATAGCCTCCGTAGCCTCCCAAGCCAAATCCTCCGAGGCCGTATCCTCCGTATCCTCCGTACAAGCCGTATCCCAAGTGCCGTTTGGTGGGGTCAGGGAGAGCCACTGCTGCGGCCGCTAGGACGACCACCACCAGCACGACCAACACGACGCGAGAAACCTGAAGGAGGGAGAAGTTGCCTATATTTTTTTCAAAAGAAGGATTGATTGTTTGAGATACCGTATATAATAAAACTGATTAAGAATTCAATGAATGTTCGATAAATTTGTATCCTGAAGTAGATGATCAACTGAAAACGTTATTATTGATCAACGGAATCAAGATTATATATATATATAAACAAAATGTTCTTATAGGATGCAAAGAGTATCTGTTACCATATTTGAGATGTTGCAGATGCGAGTGCAAGAGAAGACTCTGTCGACGCCACGATGGCCTTGCCTTATATACTCTCAAATCACTGTTTGGCAACTCAGGGCTTCCCCATCTCTGGCAGGTAGTTTCGGAAACTTTGAGGAAGCTAAACTTTACCGAGGATTTCCGACAATACATATTTTTTAGTTGATGTGACAAAATCATAACAGGTAAAGCATTTTTTTAAAGAAATATGACTATTATCAGTGATATTGTGTACTGTATTGCTATATTTTTTGGTAAACGTTGCAGTTGTTGATATCCAGTTCCAGATCAGAGATAGTGATATTATTTACAAAAGACAATTTTCCTAGGCAGAATATAAATAACCCAAACACTGCTTAACATAAGGGAATAAAAAGACTTACATATAATCGCTATAACTAAATATTATAGACGAAACTGGAATGCTATGAACTGTAACTGACGTTTATGCATTGTAATTTTGTGAAATAAGTATCCTCTGCGGAACCAATACTAAATCAGCTGTTAATTACACACTTAATACTCTGTGATGTCAACGCACAGAAGAAAGTGATCTCTGCATGAAGGTGGCATAGCATACTCTTCCCTGGGACGAGCAGCTGTTCTTGTACTCTCAGTCTCGCGAATTCAGACTTTAATGTCGCTCTGCCGCGTTCGAAATGGCCTGGACCGGCTTTGGAGTACAGATTCCTTTAATATGAATCACGGTTTTGCAATCCACGAAGCCGCAGACCTAGTTCAGTAAGATGTATTTAATTTTACTGTATATATATATATATATTTCGCACTCACATTTGAGGCCGCTCTCTGTTAGAACTGGCGTGAACCGGCTTTGGCAAAGAAATGGATTTTCCTTAGCAGTAAACTGAATTTTTGTTAAAGGTTTTCGCTTTTAATATTAAACTTTACAGAAATCCTTGGAAAGAAAGAGAACCTCATAACTAAAGGTTTTGTAACGAAATTATCAGTGGTAAGTTCGTCATAGTTTTTAGTGACACTACACTTTTTTGCTATCTTATAAGGGCAAGTAAAGGTATACGTTAAAGCCAAACAGTATAGGATGAAATTATTGTTGTTTACACTTAGGTACAGAATACTTTAGGAAACGAAGACACCATTTTACTGTATAGAAATAGAAATGAAATTAAAACGAAAAGATATGGGTTTATATTGCAAAAGATTGAAATATGAACCTGATTTTATTGAATGGGTCTTAGATTCTACAAGTTAAACATTTAGTCTTCTTTACTGATGTGAAAGGCCATGTTTTTGCACCTTCATCGATATCCTGCAGTAATTATTCGCCAAATTTACAGGGAATTTATTCACACTCATTGATAAATCACAATGAATGTCAATCATTATTTCATCTTTAACGTTCCCCTTGACTAGCAAAATTCCGAAGCCTTGGGATAAAGCAATGGTCCTTAGGCCTTTTAGAAAGCTATGGACCCCCTTCCCCAGAAATATTCACATAACACTTTTCACGCAGTGTGTATAATGTACTTTAATTAGATTTGATTGCCATACGTGTATAAGATACACAAAGAAACAATCTACAAAATATAGATGTTATTTTAATCTGATTCTCACGGACCCCATGATCCCGACCCGTAAACCCCCTATGGGTTCATGGACCCTAGGTTAAAATCCTCTGTGTTCTGTTTGCTCTTCTGTGCTTTGGCTTACTGCTTTATTCATATCGTTATATTATTATTATTATTATCATGGCTGTTATACTACTAATTACAATAATAATGGTAATAAATATCGGTATTGTTATATTTTTGTATATTAATTTATTCATGTTTGTATTTTTCTTTGTGCTCCGAATTTGATTCCCATTTCCGATATGAGATCTTTTTGAATGATTTCCAAGCGCCAAATTGATTTTGGATGTTTGCCTTTTTGAGAAAAGATACAAGAACAATACATCGCATTTTATTTTTAAAAATATATATAACCTCCTCGAATTCATAAACGTTGGAAGTCTGATGCACATCTCACAGACTTCCCTATAAATATATTTTAAGTGTCATGGTAATTTTGCACACGCACACATATATACGAGTGCACGCCAACGCGGGTGTGTATCTATCTCTACTCATTTACGTCAAATGATATGCAGGTGAGGCAGAACCATATTTATTAACGTTTATTATAAAGAATGCCATCATAGCTCGCAGTGTAAGCGAGATTGTATAAAGTATATTGCATAAATATCGAACTGTTGTATCCACTCAAATCTTCGACGACAATTTTTAAAAGAGTTGGAATTAACCTCGGAGTCGGAGGTGAAAGAGGCACCGGTGTTTACATGTTCCATCACAGCCTGGAAAAATATCGAATTCATTATTTCAAGTATTCTGTTAAAAAAAGAAAAAAAAATTGTCAAAGGATGAAAGTATAAAATCTCAAAACAAACATATTAAGCAACAGGTGAACAGGACCTCGCCTCACCTATCCATAGTAGGATCCGTAATAGGGATAGTGAGATCCATAGCCATAGCCTCCGTCTCCTCCGTAGCCTCCCAAGCCAAATCCTCCGAGGTCGTATCCTCCGTATCCTCCGTACAAGCCGTATCCCAGGTGCCGTTTGGTGGGGTCAGGGAGAGCCAGTGCTGCGGCCGCTAGGACGACCACCACCAGCACGACCAACACGACGCGAGAAACCTGAAGGAAGATTTACCTGTTACATCTGTTTATGGCGTTTATTGAAATATCGAATTATGGATATAGAAAAGGTAACTTGATAGTATATAATAATAAAAGAAAGTTATCGGAATGTGGCCAGTCAAGATAAATGAATAAATAAATAAAGCATAAAAGCTTTGGTCTAGTGTGTAATCACAGTCAAAGAAAAATCACTACCATGATTGCAAGAACGAGTGCAAGAGATAACTGTCCCGTGGCTAGATAAGGATAAGTCCGATATGCGAAGCTGCGCCTCGCCCGGGCTATGGGGGAGCCCGGCCTGTGCCGACTAATGTCGACTCGCTAACAGTGTGTCAGCGTGGTGCCCAGCCACAGCAGTAACCTCCAGGCGACAATTGCAACTTCTCGCGCATGGGCGGGGCGCGAACCGCCGACCCCTCGGATGAGAGGCCGACACGTTACCACTGTACTAGCCCGGAGGCTAACCGTGGCTGAGATGGCCTTGCCTTATATACTCTCAATTCACTGCTTGGCAACTCAGGACTTCCCCATCGCAGATTACTTTGGGAAGTTATTTACCGAGGATTTCCGATTGTTTCAGTAAGAGGGATTAATACTTCCGTAATCTACCAATAAAAACAAGCTATAGAGATTAGCTGCTAGTAATAACATTTACTTTTGTTATGCTATCTGATTTGCTAGTATTATTACTATAATGATAATATCAGTAATAAAGATAATGTTAACTATTATGTTTATGATAATAATTATCATTTTCACTATTATTTTAACCTTTTCAAGCTCTGTTATCGTGCTCATCAAGATATATTATGAATGCATTATTTCCTTCGTTATTTGTGGCATAGAATCATGCCACAAATTCTTATCTCCAACACTTCATTAATGTTATAGATCCTTACTGCTGTAAAAGATAAATGGAATGCATAGATATATAGATATGTGTGTATACATGCATATGTATATATATAAACATACATATGTATGTTTATATATATATGTACAAATGCATATATTCTGAACTTAGAAAATATATTTTTGCCGTTCAAACTTTTGAAATCTAGCAGATAAAGAAAAAGATCTTAATATAATTATAATCTGCAAGGACTAAAAAAGAATCTCTTCTTTATAAAGATCAGAGTCATCTGTCGGACTTTCTTAGGAACAAAATGCTTTATCTTATTCAAAATTATATTCAGTTTAAGTATATTTCGTTTGTCTTTGTATTTTGGCGTGGGACCACCTTCAAGATGATTATCGTTTTAATATGAGCTTTAAATTAAATTACACCTTCGTTGTCTCTATATATTGTATAAATGTATATAAAAATCTGTATATATATGTATACAAGTATGTATATATATATAGGGATGCATATGTATATATGTGAATATACACATAATATACATATACTTATTTGTGTGTGTGTGTGGAGTATTTATGTATATGCATATATATAATGTACACACATACTACTTATAATATACATAATATACTGGGTATATATATGTATATATGCATACATATATATGTGTATATATATACAGTACCCACACGCTCACAAATATATGTACGTATATACATATATGCATTTATGTATATATACACAGCACATAAGTATACAGTGTGTATATATAAATATAATGTATGTGTAGGCCATTTTCTCTTAATAAGTTCGTTAAAACACTTTAACCTTGACAAGGGGAATAGATATGTAATGGAACAACATCTCTGGGAATCAAAACGAAAGGAAAGCAGTTCTTGGGAAAAGTTTGTCGCAGTTTTTTGTTTTTTTTTATGCAACCTTTATCTCATCAGCTCTTCTGCCTCCTCGCTGTTAGCATGTTAGCAGCTGAAACATCTAAATAGTTATCTATAAATATACATACATCTATTTATGTATGCATTTATTTATAGCTATGTGTACATGTATGTAGACAGGAAATTAGATGTGTTTTCTATATAGTATTCACTAAAATAGGGAAGAGATAACAGTATATAGAGTTAAAACTTTATTAGATGGTGTTTAAAGTGATAAATACAAGTCTGGACTGGTGTTCACTGACAACCTATGGACTTCGTTTTTTTTTTTCTTCTTCTTCTTTTTGTCTGATTCGCGAAGCAGAGCCTTACTTTGGGAAGTTATTTACCGAGGATTTCCGATTGTTTCAGTAAGAGGGATTAATACTTCCGTAATCTACCAATAAAAACAAGCTATAGAGATTAGCTGCTAGTAATAACATTACTTTTGTTATGCTATCTGATTTGCTAGTATTATTACTATAATGATAATATCAGTAATAAAGATAATGTTAACTATTATGTTTATGATAATAATTATCATTTTCACTATTATTTTAACCTTTTCAAGCTCTGTTATCGTGCTCATCAAGATATATTATGAATGCATTATTTCCTTCGTTATTTGTGGCATAGAATCATGCCACAAATTCTTATCTCCAACACTTCATTAATGTTATAGATCCTTACTGCTGTAAAAGATAAATGGAATGCATAGATATATAGATATGTGTGTATACATGCATATGTATATATATATAAACATACATATGTATGTTTATATATATATGTACAAATGCATATATTCTGAACTTAGAAAATATATTTTTGCCGTTCAAACTTTTGAAATCTAGCAGATAAAGAAAAAGATCTTAATATAATTATAATCTGCAAGGACTAAAAAAGAATCTCTTCTTTATAAAGATCAGAGTCATCTGTCGGACTTTCTTAGGAACAAAATGCTTTATCTTATTCAAAATTATATTCAGTTTAAGTATATTTCGTTTGTCTTTGTATTTTGGCGTGGGACCACCTTCAAGATGATTATCGTTTTAATATGAGCTTTAAATTAAATTACACCTTCGTTGTCTCTATATATTGTATAAATGTATATAAAAATCTGTATATATATGTATACAAGTATGTATATATATATAGGGATGCATATGTATATATGTGAATATACACATAATATACATATACTTATTTGTGTGTGTGTGTGGAGTATTTATGTATATGCATATATATAATGTACACACATACTACTTATAATATACATAATATACTGGGTATATATATGTATATATGCATACATATATATGTGTATATATATACAGTACCCACACGCTCACAAATATATGTACGTATATACATATATGCATTTATGTATATATACACAGCACATAAGTATACAGTGTGTATATATAAATATAATGTATGTGTAGGCCATTTTCTCTTAATAAGTTCGTTAAAACACTTTAACCTTGACAAGGGGAATAGATATGTAATGGAACAACATCTCTGGGAATCAAAACGAAAGGAAAGCAGTTCTTGGGAAAAGTTTGTCGCAGTTTTTTGTTTTTTTTATGCAACCTTTATCTCATCAGCTCTTCTGCCTCCTCGCTGTTAGCATGTTAGCAGCTGAAACATCTAAATAGTTATCTATAAATATACATACATCTATTTATGTATGCATTTATTTATAGCTATGTGTACATGTATGTAGACAGGAAATTAGATGTGTTTCTATATAGTATTCACTAAAATAGGGAAGAGATAACAGTATATAGAGTTAAAACTTTATTAGATGGTGTTTAAAGTGATAAATACAAGTCTGGACTGGTGTTCACTGACAACCTATGGACTTCGTTTTTTTTTTCTTCTTCTTCTTTTTGTCTGATTCGCGAAGCAGAGCCTCGCCCGGGCTATGTCCATGAGGGGAGCCCGGTTAATTTGGACTTTGTTGACGAGGTTTACTTGGTACTTCGCTATCTGGAAAAATATCGTGATGTTAAGAAATATGTTACAACTAGAAACCTCATGTTGATGATTATAACAACAGAAGTAGTTACAGATAGAATTAAGATTCCAGTAAACGACACACTACATAAGGATTGCGCTCCTACCTATCCGTAGTAGGATCCGTAATAAGGATAGTGGGATCCATAGCCGTATCCTCCGTAGCCTCCCAAGCCAAATCCTCCGAGGCCGTATCCTCCGTATCCTCCGTACAAGCCGTATCCCAAGTGCCGTTTGGTGGGGTCAGGGAGAGCCAGTGCTGCGGCCGCTAGGACGACCACCACCAGCACGACCAACACGACGCGAGAAACCTGAAGGAAGATTTATCTGTTAAGTTATATATCATATGGGTATAGAAAGATTCACCCCTTTTATTTGTTTATCCTAATGTTGGGGAAATAAAGATTATGAACAAATAAACTGTAAACTAATATATAGTCATAACTCGCATATTGTTAGATAAATTCATCATATGCTACTACCATTGTTGAGATGTAGATGCGGATGCAGAAGACTCTGTCGTCGCTCCCTTGGTTTTGCCTTATATACTCTTATTACTCTCTGATCACTGTTTGGCAACTCTGGACTTCCCCATCCTCGGCTAGCATTTTCGGGAATTTGGAACAATTTAGATTTTACCGAAAATTTCCGGTCATGCTATTCCTTTACGATATTTGGCAATCATTTAAAAAAAATCTATGACTTTTGATTATGTCTACTGATTTTCCATTTCTTTAAAATTTCGTTAAAATTCCGAATCTGTCATATAGCGTTTTCCTTACCCACATTATATTAAAAAATAACTACAAAAAATTTCTTTCCGTCTGAATTAACAAGTAAGTTTAGCAAACTCGCAATAAAAGAGAACCAATAAGTTACAGATTTATATATACATTCGGAATGTGTCATCGAAGTTGCCAGTGTTCATAATGCATGTCATAACACACTTTAACACAGCGTTGTTCCATACTGTATACAGTGGCAGACCCAGAATGTTTCGAAGCTGAATGTGTAATAAGATCAAGAAAAATATTGTGTATGTGGAGGGGGGTGGGGGTGGATGTGTTATAAGATCTTGGAAAATATTTAGAGGCTGGGGCGCATTGTGATGTATTGAGGGGGACGAAATATTGATGGGAATGAGGAGCAGACTCAGATACAGAATCTACGATGATAATGATACTGATAATGATGTTAACTGTGACACTTTCATGTTGATTAATTCAGTGAACATGTAGTAAGTAGTAAACTGGAGGTCCAGGCTCTCATGGTATGCATGGAATTGAATAATTTTTTGTTGCAAAGATTGGTACAACTGTATTTACATTGTTGCTTAACTCTTTTGTTTGTACACTCGAATGAATAGACGAAGGGGGGAGGGGAGGGAAGGTTGTTAATCGGATTAGCTGCTGTGATTGTCTAAATCATATATATATATATATATGTATATACACATACACGAGCGTTACGTCTTGTTTCAGTTTTTGTTTATTTTCTTTATGTCCATGTTCCTATGTTCATTTTTATATACACATATATTTCTATATCTATATTCACACATATACTTACATATGTATGTATGTATGTATATTTGTCGGATTGCGGTACAGCAGTGCTTTTAGTCAGTTCATACTAAGAATGATGAGGATTGAAGAGATAATAGCAGTGTAATTGATGGCAACGAACTATACTATTAATCGCGTTTCCGATGATAAATTAAAAATATTTTACATTGTCTTTTATGTGACCAGTCTAGTTCTGTAGAGCAGTTTTACATTGCACTTCCTTGTGTCTGGCGGTTCACGAGCATTCTCTGGGGAGACAACGATCCCTTTATGTGGCTATAAGTCAGCTGAGTCGGCGACTGTGCGTAAAGGAATACACTCGGCATGTTGGATTTAGTTGGGGAATGGGATGGGGAGGGGGGGGTATGGGGATGCTGGATATATAAAATCAAGCAGACTAGTTAAAAGGATTCTGGGGGATCTTTGTGTGTATATTTACAAAGCAAATTTATGTATACATATATACACAATATATATATGTATACAAAGATCTCCAGCAGAACCTTTGATTATTCTACTAGATTTTATAACATATCCAGCACCCCTATATTCCCCATTCCCATCTCTTATCCTTTTGAGTCATTTAGTCTTATATCATAATGTGGGTCAAGAAAGCGACATTCGACAGATTCAGGGAGAGAAATTTAAGGAAAAGAAAAGTTAGCACAAATAACTAAAACAACTTATATTTATTTTATGAATGACAAATATGATTATATATCCCAGTTAATGAAATAGCACGTCCGGATATCCTCGGTAAAGTCCAACTTGTTTCAGATTCCAGAAAATACTAGCTTAGGTTGGGGAAGTCCAGAGTTGCCAAACAGGCTTTTGGGAGTATATAAGGCGAGGCCATCGCATCCACGGCACAGTCATCTCTTGCACTCGTTCCTGCAACATCTTAATCATGGTAGTGCAATTTAATTATTTTCATTTATTGACTATGATTAAACACTGGACCAGAATTTTTATCATTTATCTAATTAGTAATCTGTTTGAAATAATTCAGGAAAGTTCGAGTTACTATTAAATAATATTAAGCTATTTTTCTATACTTATAACATTCCGATATTTCACTAAACTTACGTAAGCAGATGTAACAGGTGAATCTTCCTTCAGGTTTCTCGCGTCGTGTTGGTCGTGCTGGTGGTGGTCGTCCTAGCGGCCGCAGCAGTGGCTCTCCCTGACCCCACCAAACGGCACTTGGGATACGGCTTGTACGGAGGATACGGAGGATACGGCCTCGGAGGATTTGGCTTGGGAGGCTACGGAGGATACGGAGGCTATGGATCCCACTACCCTATTACGGATCCTACTACGGATAGGTGAGGACTTTGACAACGCTCTTCTATTATTATTATTATTATTTTTTTTTTTTTTTTTTTTTTTTTTTTTTTTTTTTTTTTAGTTTTATATCGTGAATCCTTATACACATGTACTCTTGATCTGATTTCTTATCATTTTCATTTTCTTTTTTTGCAGAGGGTGGTGCACCAGGTCTTAAGTTATCTCTGTATCTTCGTCTTCAGTAAAAATGTTCTTTGCGGAGTTTTATGCTTCTATATCCATGATGATAATAAAGAATTTATCCTCCATTTTTTGTCTTTCTTTCATCTAATGTGGTTAAATGTTGTGACATGAATACAAACCAATATATAGATATAAATGCATATGTGTCTGTGTAATATATAAATCATAATACACATAAAGCACACATGGGTATAAATATATATATATATTGTATATACATGTGAATATAAGTGTGTATATATATACATTGTATATACATACATGAAAATATATATTCCTTAGTATATATAAGTATGTATGTATATATGCACCACATGTATTGTTATATACAGATTTATACATAGACATATATATTTATACATTTGTATATCAGCTTCAGAGATTCTGAAATTTTAAAGAAATGAAAAGTTGGCAAACATAACTAAAAGCCGTAAATATATTTCTTAACAGACTGCTACATATCATGATTACTTATCCCTTCTGATGAAATAGCACGTCCGGAAATCCTCGGAAAAATCTAAATTGTCCCAAATTCCCGAAAATACTAGCTGAGGATGGGGAAGGCCTGAGTTGCCAGGCAGTCAATTGACAGTATGATAACGTGTTTTTGCGAAGTCGTGGCAATTGCTTGAATACAAACCTACAATATATGTCATATATATACTATATGCATACACAGGATGTATGCATATATATATGCATATATATATATGCATATATATACAAACATATATACTATGTATACAGGTGAATATGTATATTACATATCAAGATGTATATCTATATTATGTATATACATATGAGTATATATATTTATTATCATATATATATGCATACATATATAAAACATATATACCTATGAATGTACCATTATTATATACAAATTTATACATAGATATATATAAATGTATGCTTATACATTTGTATATCATGCATATATATGTAGACATATATAAGTATATATACTGAATATATATTTTCAATAGTATATGCAAAGCTATATATATACCTATACATATATATGCATTGATATATATGTTTATACATGTATATATACATATGCCTTTTTATCTATACTGAAAATATGCTTATACATGTATATACTTATATATGTATATACATATATACACAGTGGCTGATCCAGAGAGTAGTCTCTACCCCCCTCCATAGTATCGGGTACAACGAAAGTTATAGCCAGTAAACAGAAATTTGTAAACAATTTAGGGAACGACGTGAATACGACTGTGCTAAACTGGGCAACATGATGTTAACAAAAGATATGCATATAATATCCATTAAACTTTATGACTGTTTCTGTGTACGTTCTTTTTTTAACGTCCAGTTTACTAATGATATCCTGCAATTTCCAAAATGGCTGTAAAATCCTTCTGGAAACTTAAAAATTCCCAGTGATGGAGACGACCCCGCCCCTCTCCCCCGCCCACTGGCTCGTGGCATTGTGCTTTCGCTGTGTATGATGTATTATTATTGTCAATATCATTATTATCCTTATTACCATTGCCATTATTTTTGTTATTGTTTTTATCAATATTGTTATCTTCATCATTATTACTTTTATTATAATTATTATAATTACTATTATCGTTTTTATTATCAGCTTTGTCATTACTATTATCATAATAATAATCATTATTATTATTAATTTACCATAATCACTACATTACTATTATCATTATCATTATAATTTTTGTCATCAATATTCTCATTCTTGTTGCTATTATAATCATATTTGTTACTATCATTATTTTCACTAACATTATCATGATTATCACTATTGAAAATGTGTCTGATTCTAGCCACCCTTCCCCCCCAACACAAAGGTCGCACGCAGCCCCTCATTTTATCATACTTATAGCATCCAATACCCCCATATCCCCCATACCCACACTTTACCCCTTTGAGTCATTTAGTCTTATATCATAATTATGGGTCAAGAAAGCGACAACTGCCAGATTCAACGAGTTTAACCAAATTTAAGGAAATGAGAAGTTAGCACAAATAACTAAAATAACGCATATATTTCATGATTGCCAAATTTCGTGATTATGTGTCTCATTTGATGAAATAGCACGTCCGGATATCCACGGTAGTCAAATTCCCGAAAATACTAGCTTAGGTTGGGGAAGTCCAGAGTTGCCAAACAGTCTTTAGGGAGTATATAAGACGAGGCCATCGCAGCCACAACACAGTCATCTCTTGCATTCGTCCCTGCAACATTTCAATCATGGTAATGCAATATGATCGGTGACTTTAATTATAGTTATTTAGTAATCTATCTTTAGTCATTCCGATAATTCTAATTTATTATTGAAGAATATTATGTTATTTTTTCTATAAATATCACATTCCAATATTTACTAAACTTACCGCAAACAGATGTAACAGGTGAATCTTCCTCCAGGTTTCTCGCATCGTATTAGTCGTGCTGGTGGTGGTCGTCCTAGCGGCCGCAGCAGTGGCTCTCCCTGACCCCACCAAACGGCACTTGGGATACGGCTTGTACGGAGGATACGGAGGATACGGCCTCGGAGGATTTGGCTTGGGAGGCTACGGGGGCTACGGAGGACTCGGCTATGGATCCCACTATCCTTATTACGGATCCTACTATGGATAGGTAGGATTTTAATCCTTGGCACTGTGTCATTTACTAGAATCCTGATCTTATCGGTGTCTATTGTTATAATCATCATGAGGTTTCTGATAATAAATGAACATTACTTTTCCAGATAACGAAGGACCAAGTAAACGTGTCATATGGACTTCGTTTTCTGCCTTTCAGCTGGGTCGACGAAGTCCATAGGTGGTTGATGAACACCTGTCCAGCCCTGTATTTATATTTTTAAATATCATCTAATAAAGCCTTAACTCTATATGCTGTTATCTCTTACCTATTTTAGTCAATTCTATATAGCTACCTATCTAATTACCTGGCTGCATATATGTACAATGGCTGTAAATAAATACATTACGAACTTATTAGGAGGAAATGGCCTACACACACATAAACACATGCATACACATATACATATACATGTATATACATACATATATGCTTTGCGTATATATATGCTCATACATACGTATATGTGTGTACTGTATATAATGCGAGTGTGCATATATATGCACTGTAAGTATAAATATATATATATCTACATAATGTATATATATATGTACCGTGTGTATATATGTGTGTAGGGTATATATATATTTATATAAATATATGTATATACGTAATTTACGTACATATAGATCTATTACTTATTTAGATATGTACATAATATACTGGGTATATTTATGTATATGTATATATATACCTGGGTGTATATATATACATTTATATATTCACATCTATACATAAGCATCCATATATAGACATTTGTATACATCTGTACATACACATCCATATATATATACACACATTTGTATACATATATATACAAATATAAAATATATACATATACTTATAGACACGACGAATATCAAGATAGGAAAATCGAAAATGTATTAAATTGATAAAGCAAGTTGTATGGAGAATTTCGCATAATAAAACAAATCATTTTGTTGTCAAGAAAACCCAAAAAATGACCTTGATCTTTACACAGAAATGTACTGTTTAGTCATTGCAAATTAGGATTATATAATTGAGCAAGAAGGGTACGGGTTTTTTTTTTAGTTCTAGATTTTAAATGTTTGTACAACAAAGATAAATACATTTTTGTAAGTTCAGAATATACATGTATTTGTATATATAGAAATATACGTATGTACGTTTATGTATATGCATATATATATTCATATATCTATTTATGTATGCATATATCGCTCTTTTTAGTGCATCTATGTACGTGTACGTATTATACATCTCTCTTTTCACAGTTTAAAGAAGCCCTAGAGGGTACAAGACTTCTGGTTCTCCAAATGTCTGACTTTTTTCTTTTTTTGGCGGTAAGGATTTATACCATTACTGAAGGTGTCATTAGAGATAATATAAGGTAATTAATAAGGAAGGAAATAAAGTAATTCATTCATAATATATATTGATGAGGACGCTAATAGACCCTGAGAAGATTGAAAATAATAATGAAAATGATAATTACTACTATCAACATTACCATTATTATTAACATTTTTGTTGATATCATTAGCACAATAATGATAGTAATAACAGAAATACAGCAGAACAAAATTAAATCTTATTACTAGCAACCAGTTTCTATAGCTTGTTTTTACTGGTAGATTACGAAAATATTAATCCCTCCTACTGAAATAATACGGAAATCTTCGGTAAATAACTTCCTCCAACTTCCCAGACGAGTCTACGATGGGGAAGTCCTGAGTTGCCAAGTAGTGATTTGAGAGTATATAAGGCATGGCCATCGCAGTAGCGGCACAGTCATCTCTTGCACTCATTTCTGCAACATCTTAGTCATGGTAATGAACATTTTTCTTTGACTATGATTATACAGTAGTCCCAAGCTTTTATCCTTTATTTATGCATTCATCTTCCATTGACTATATACTACGAAGTTACTTTTTTATATTCTAATTCCATATTTTAGTCAAATTTTCTTAAACAGATGTAACAGGTGAATCTTCCTTCAGGTTTCTCGCGTCGTGTTGGTCGTGCTGGTGGTGGTCGTCCTAGCGGCCGCAGCACTGGCTCTCCCTGACCCCACCAAACGGCACTTGAGATACGGCTTGTACGGAGGATACGGAGGATACGGCCTCGGAGGATTTGGCTTGGGAGGCTACGGGGGCTACGGAGGACACGGCTATGGATCCCACTATCCTTATTACGGATCCTACTATGGATAGGTAGGATCTTAATCCTTGGCACTGTGTCATTTACTAGAATCCGAATCTTATTAGTGTCTCTTGTTATAATCATCATGAGGTTTCTGATTATAAAATATTTCTTAACATCGCAACATTACTTTTCCAGATAACGAAGGACCAAGTAAACGCCTTTAGTGTCACATGGACTTCGTTTCCTGCCTTTCAGTTGGGTCGACGAAGTTGATGAACACCTGTCCAGCCTTGGATTTATATTTTTGAATACCGTCTAATAAAGCTTTAACTCTATATGCTGTTATCTCTTACCTATTTTAGTGAACTCTTTATAGCTACCCATCTAATTACCTGGCTGCATATATGTACATTAGTTGTAAATAAATGCTTTACGAACTTATTAGGAGGAAATGGTACACACATAAACTTACACATATACATACATATGTATATACATATGTTAATACATATACTTATACATATGCTGTGCGTATATATATATACATACATATATACATATATGTGTGTACTGTATATGTGTATATATGTACTGTATGTATATATGTATATATACGTAACGTATACATACGATATAGTGGGTGTATGTACAAATATACACCCACTATATCGCTCGTATATATACATATATCATAAGTAATATATACATGTCCATTACACTACACATACACGCATATATATATATGTGTGTACATATTTGTGTATATATATGTATATATATATATATAATGTACACATACATATTATATAGATATGTACATAATACACTGGGTATATACATATACATCTATACCTGGGTGTATATTTACATCTGTACATGCGCATCCATATAAATACACATATATGTATAAACAAATATAAAATATACATATACATAGACACTGAAGGTTTGTTTTGATTTAAAGTTCATATTAAGACGATAGTCATCGTGCTAGGGGTCTCGTACGACGAATACCAAAATAGGAAGAAAATCGGAAATTTACTAAATTGGCATTTTGTTGCCAAGAAAGCCCGACGAATGACCCTAATCTTTATACAGAAATGTACTGTTTAGTCATTTAGATTAGGACTATGTCGATGAGCAAGAAGTGTACGTTTTTTTTTTTTTTTTAGTTCTGCTAGATTTTAAATGTTTGTACTACAAATATAAATATATTTTCTAAGTTCAGGATATGTAAGTATTTGTACATATGAACATATGAGCATATGTATGTTTATACATATGCATGTACTATACATCTCTCTTTTCACATGTAAAGGGGGCCCCAAAGGTATAAGACTCTTGGTTCCCCAAATATCTGACAGCGACACTGCGCGTGCTAATTTTTAAATCTTATTTATGGTGGTGGTCGTAGCAGTGGCTCTCCCTGACCCCACAAAACGGCACTTGGGATACGGCTTGTACGGAGGATACGGAGGATACGGCCTCGGAGGATTTGGCTTGGGAGGCTACGGAGGACACGGCTATGGATCCCACTATCCTTATTACGGATCCTACTACGGATAGGTGAGGAGTTTGACAACACTTCTATTTTCTTAAGTACACATGGATATATACATATATACATATGTATTGTAAATACATATGAATATAAGTATATAAACATATAGCCTATAAATTGTATATACATACATGAATATATAATTAGTATATATAAATCTGTATGTATATATATTACATATATTGTTACATATAGATTTATACATAGACATATACATATATATACATTTACATTTGTTTATCAGAGCTTCAGAAATTCTGACGATATATTAAGGAAATGAAAAGTCGGCAAACCATAGCTGAAAGTCATAAATATATTTCTTAATAGATTGCCACACATCGTGATTATTTGTCCCTTTTGATGAAATAGCACGTCCGGAAATCGTCGGAAAAATCTAACTTCCCAAATTCCCGAAAATACTAGCCGAGGATGGGGAATCCCCGAGTTGCCAGACAGTCAATTGAGAGTATAAGAATGTTTTTGTGTTGTGGCAGTTGCTTAAGGTTTATCCCTTTATATTAATAAAGAACTCACTAATAAAGAAAAGGTGTTAATAAAGAACTCACTCTGCGTGTTTTGTTTGGTTTTTGGTTTTATTTTTTCTTAACATGACTGAATTTGCGATATGAACATAAACTTACAATATATATTTGTGTGATATATATTATGTATATAAATTGGATGCATTTATATATACACATATATACAAATATACTATGTATACAGATGAATATGTATATTACATATTCATAAGAATATATAGTTATATTATATATACATTGTATATAAATCTATATATTTGTATTATATATATACATATAAATGATATGATATATGATATACATATAGATATCATATACATAAGAATTTATTATTATATATTAATTTGTATGTATATATATACATGGATATGTTTACACATTTGTATATCATACATATATCCATAAATACGTAAGTATATATACTGAATATATATATATATTCGTTAGTATTTACAAAACTATATGTATAGCTATACATATATATACATATAGATATATGTATATGCATATATATATACTAAATATATGCTTTTACATATATAGTTATATATATATATGTATACACATACACATAGTGGTTGATCCAGGGAGTAGTCTCCCCCTTCCCTCTTTAGTATTGGGTATGACAAAAGTTATACCTGATAAACAGAAATCTGTGAACAGTTTCGGTAACAATGAGAATATGGCTGTGCAAAACTGGCCAACATGCTGTTTCTGGTAAAACTGATGTATATGTATACGTTTTTCCTTACTGAAACATACCGATAACCTGCAAACTCCAGATGCCTGGAAAATGCATTTGGAATGTTAAAAATCCCCACTGATGCTCCCCCCCTCTCCCCCGCCCACTAACTCGTTCGTGGCTTTGCCCTTTCGTTGTGGGGAGGGTGGGAGGGGGTACCTGGGCACTTATCCCCTAGAAACAATATCAATGATAATATCTATTATTGGTATTTAGGTAGCATTACTGATATTTCTGATATTATCATCATTATTCTTATGATTACCTTTTAGCATTATGGTCATGATTACTGCTATTTTTCATTAGTATCATTATTGTCAATATCGTTATTGTGATTATTGTTATTACTATAACTATTTATTTTTGTTACTATCATTAGTATAATTGTCATTATCATTATCATAATTATTGTCATTACTATTATCTTTATCATTACTATCATCGTTCTCATTATCTTTATAATTACAACTATCATTACTATAATCATTATCTTTACTGTTGTTATTATCATTACCATAATTGTTATTACTATTGTATTATCACTATCACCATAATTATCATTAGCATTCTCAGTCGTGTTGCCAATATAATCATATTTGTTTTTACCATCATTATTTTTGCTAACATGATTATCAGTGTTGAGAATGTATCTGATTCTACCCACCTCCCCCCCCCCAGCACATAACGGATGTCCCTCTTCAGTCCCTCTAATTATTTTAATTGATTTCATTACATTCAGCACCTTCATATCCGCCATTCCCATCCCTTACCCCTTTGAGTCATCTAGTCTCTTATTATAATGGGAATCAAGATAGCGACGTTTGACAGATTCTGGGAGTTTAACCAAATTTTAAGGAAATGAAAAGCAAGCACTAAAACAACGCACATATTTCTTTTATGATTGCCAAATATCATGATTATATGTCCCATTTGATGAAATAGCACGTCCAGATATCCTTGGTAAAGTCTGATTTGTTTCAAATTCCCGAAAATACTAGCTTAGGTTGGGGAAGTCCAGAGTTGCCAAACAGTCTTTTGAGAGTATATAAGGCGAGGCCATCGCAGCTACGACACATTCATCTCTTGCATTCGTTCCTGCAACATCTCAATCATGGTAATGCAATATGATCGGTGTTCAGTTACTGACTTTAATTATACACTAGACAAGATTTTTTTATTATTATTATTATTTTTTTTAGTAATCTATCTTTAATCATTCCGATAATTTTAATTTAGTATTAAATAATATCAAGCTATTTCTTTTGTATACATACCTCATTCCGATATTTACTAAACTTACCGCAAACAAATGTAACAGGTGAATCTTCCTTCAGGTTTCTCGCGTCGTGTTGGTCGTACTGGTGGTGGTCGTCCTAGCGGCCGCAGCACTGGCTCTCCCTGACCCCACCAAACGGCACTTGGGATACGGCTTGTACGGAGGATACGGAGGATACGGCCTCGGAGGATTTGGCTTGGGAGGCTACGGAGGATACGGAGGCTATGGATCCCACTATCCTTATTACGGATCCTACTACGGATAGGTGAGGTGGGGTCCTATTCACCTGTTACTTGGTGTTTATTTGTTTTGAGATTTTATGTTTTCATTAGACTATTCTTTAAAATACTGATCTTGCTTAACATCAGAGTACCTGAAATACTGAACCTTTATCCTTTTTTCCAGGCTGCCATGTAACATGTAAACACTGTTGCATCTCTCACCTCCGACTTCGAACAAGTTGATTCCAACTCCTTCCAAAAATCGTCAAGGATTTGAATGGATACGACATGAACTGATATTTATGTGATATACTTTATACCGTTTCGCTTGCACTGCGAGATATGATGAATTTCTTTATAATAAAACATACTTATTAAATATGGTTCTGTCTCACCTGCATGTCATTTGATGTAAAGGAGTAAATGTTCTTTAATATTCATGTTCATAAGCGCACACACCTGTATATAGGTGAACGCACCTATATATATTTATATGAATATATGTGAAAAAACAGTTAAAAAACACTTATAAGGAAGACTTTGACGTGTGTGTTGATAAATTACGATTTATTGCTCTTATATCAGCATTTTTCAAACTGGCTAACGTCTAAAAACAAATAGGCGCTTAGAAATCATTCAAAATGGTTTACATTACTATAATAATAGTATTGATATTTCCTATCATTTTTGTTATCACTACTATTAGTAGTAGTAATATAACCAAGATAAAAATGATAATTATAACAGAAAATATAGAATACGAATAAAGCACAGACTAAATTAAAGCACAGAAGAACAGAGAGAACATACCCCTTAACGTGGGGTCCATAGGCCCTAAGGGATAACAAGAATGCAAGGCAATATCAGTGATGCACTGACGAAATTACCACTGATAATTTCGTTACAAAGGCTTTAGTTATGAGGCTCTTTCCTTCCAAGGATTTTTGTAAATCAGCGGAATCAAAATGAGAGATCTGTCTAGTTTTGAACTGATACAAGTAGTAAGGAAATCTGATATAGATACATTTTACTGAATTAAGTTTACAACTAAGGAAAATCTATCTCTTTGCCAAAGCCGGTTACTTTTGCGCCGTGTTGTGCAGCGGTAGCGATCTCGTCTAGAAATCCGACCTGCGATCAAATTCCTCGTCACCAGTGGATGGTTACCCCGGCCATCCCTTGTATACAGGAAATAAGTTAGAAGCAAAATGAAACAGACAGTATGTCATACCAAGAATATCCATTGTTACAAACGGAATCAAAGTAAATTATTATTATTAATTATTCCAACACAGCACAGCGGCTTTAGATGTGAGTGCGAGACATCAACATTTAATCGACTTTAGAACTAATTACAGACAAAAATAAAACTTGTATATAGTAAATCTAAATATATTTTATTGAAGTGGGTCTGTAGCTCCGTAGATTTACATCAAAGGAAAAACCATCTCTGCACCAAAGCCGGTTAACACCAGTTCGAACTCGGCCCTCGTGAGACTGACAGAGCACAAGAACAGCTGATCGTCCCAGGGAAGAGTATGCTATGCCACCCTTCATGAGCAGATCACTTCTTTCTGCGCGTTGACATCACTGAATATTAAGCGTATGTAAATAGCAGTTGATGGTTTAACGTTGGTTCCACAGATGATACTTCACAAAATTAGAATACATAAAACATTAGTTACAGTTCATATCATCCCAGTTTCGTCTATAATATGTACTCAGTTATGGTGATTATATGTCAATGTTTTGTTCTCTTATGCCGAGCAGTGTTTGCGTTATTTACATTTTACCTAAATTTGTCTCTTGTATATATTTTTATCACTATCACAGATAATTACCGTTAATTCTTCTGATTTTCATTATCGGTAGTTTTGTCAATGTCTGTATTGTAATTACTTTTATTGAATCTATAATGATGGCGATAAAAGATAATACCATTAACAAAAATAAGAATGATGATATTAACAATGATAGTGGCAATTGTCAATTTGATAATAGGAATATATATAAAACAGAAATTAAGTATAAAATGAATATTGACAACCCCCCCCCCCCCAAAAAAAAAAAAAAAAAAAAAAAAAAAAAACATTAGGATATACAGTATCACTGATAATAGTTATATTTATTTCAAGGTGCTTTACATGCTATAATTTTGTCACATCTGCTAAAAAATAGATGTATACATTCGGAAATCCTCGGTAAAGTTTAGCTTCCTCTAAGTTTCCGAAACTACCTGCCTGGGATGGGGAAGCCCTGAGTTGCCAAACAGTGATTTGAGAGTATATAAGGCAAGGCCATCGTGGCGACGGCAGAGTCTCCTCTTGCACTCGCATCTGCAACACCTCAAATATGGTAAGACACTCTTTGCATCCTTTTATAGAATATATGCCATCGGTGCGCATCTTGCATGTGCCGGTTGTTTATATACATTTTCTTGGTTCCATCGATCAATAATATCGTTTTAAGTTGATCATATATTTCAGGATACAAAATTGTCGAAGATTTATTGAATTCTTAATCAATTTTACTATATTTCAGTCCCCCAATCTTTTTTTTTTTTTTTTTTTTTTTTTTTTTTTTTTTTAACTATAGCCAAGTTCTCCCTCCTACAGGTTTCTCGCGTCATGTTGGTCGTGCTGGTGGTGGTCGTCCTAGCGGCCGCAGCAGTGGCTCTCCCTGACCCCACCAAACGGCACTTGGGATACGGCTTGTACGGAGGATACGGAGGATACGGCCTCGGAGGATTTGGCTTGGGAGGCTACGGAGGATACGGAGGCTATGGATCCCACTATCCCTATTATGGATCCTACTACGGATAGGTAGGATCTTAATCCTTTTGTATTGTGTCCTTTACTGAAATCCTAATATTATCCGTATCTATGGTTGTTATAATCATCATGAGATTTCTAACTGAAGAATATTTCCTAAAATTGTAACATTACTTTTCCAGATAACGTGAGGCCAAGTGAACAACTTCGTTTCCTGTCTTTCAGCAGGGTCGACGAAGTTTTCAATGGACACCAGTCCAGATTTGTATTTATCTCTAATAAAACTTTAACTCTAAGTACTGTTATCTTTTACCTATTCTAGTGAATTCTATATAGCTACCCATCTAATCACCAGTCTGCATATATGTACATATGTCTGTAAATAAATGCATTCATAAACGGGTGCATGTATATAATATATTTAGACAGAAGACTACTTAGATGTATCAGCTGTTAACATGCTAACGGCGAGGTGAGAGATAAAAGTTGCATGAAGAAAAATAATGGAACTGCGACAAACTTATTCCAAGAAGAGCAAATATATACACATTACACATATGCGTATATATGCGTGTGTGTGTTCTGTATATGTAAATTCATATACATATATATGTATTTATATGGGTGTGTATATATACTGTATATATATGTTCTGTATATGTGTGTAATGTTTATATATGTATACAGATATATACCCAGTATATTATATATGTATATATATATATATATTAAGTAATTTATACATGCATACTATATATATATACATATATACCTACTTTACACACACATATATGTATATATATGTGTGTGTAGAGTATATATGTAGATATATATAATGCTCATATATATTACTTTTGATATATGTATATAATATACTTGGTATATATATGTATATATATATTCACATCTATTCATATGCATCTCTATATATACATTTTTGTATTCATATATATTTATATATGTATATACAAATACAAAATATATATACATACATATATAATAATCCTCCCTGAGGAGGCCTCGAACCTAGGTCACTCCGGGTATGAAACCGCAAGGCCAGGACTAAACGAACCATACCACATGACCAACTAGGAGTGTGCAACTAGGATCTAATTAGCTCCATAGACATTACCTATCTACTCATACATGAGTAATGATAGCGAGGTTTTACACGCACTCCCCGTAGACACTCGGTGAAAACTGGAAAAAAATCAGAAATGTACTAAATTGATAAATTCGGTTTATAATATAGTGAATTTTGAATAATGAGACAAACATTTTGTTGCCAAGAAAGCCCGACGAATTACTTTGATCTTTATACAGAAGAAATACACTTTTTTAGTCATTGCAGATTAGGATTATGTCAGTGAGCAAGAAGTGTACGTTTTTGTTAATTGTGCTAGATTTGTACGACAAAAATAAATATATTTTCTAAGTTCAGAATATATATGTATTTGCACATATAAACACGTACATATGTATGCTTGTATATATGTATGCATATATATATGTATATACAGTCTATCTATATATAAATGTATACATCTCTCTTTTCACATTCTATAGGAGCCCCCGAGGGTAATAGACTCCTGTTCCCCAAATATGTGGCAGCGACACTATGCGCGTGCCAATTATTTTTTTTTTATAGCAGTAATAATTTATAAGGTGTTACTGAAGATAAGAATATAAGATAACAGATTCTATGGTACAAATAACGAAGGATATAAAGTAATTCATTCATCATATATATGGATGAGGACGATAACAGACCTTGAGAAGATTCAAAATAATCATAATTGTTGTAATTATCGCTGTTACCATTTTTAATATTATCATTTTTGTTGATACTACCACTATCACTATAATAATAGTAATAATAACATACATACATATAGCATAACAAAATGAAATATTACTAGCAACTAATCTCTATTGCTTGTTTTTTTTATTGGTAGATTACGTAAGCATTAATCCCTCTTACTGAAATAACACGGAAATCCTCGGTAAATAACTTCCTCCAAATTCCCGAAGTAGTCTGCGATGGGGAAGCCCTGAGTTGCCAAGCAGTGATTTAAGAGTATAAAAGGCAAGGCCATCGCAGCCACGGAACAGTCATCTCTTGCACTCGTTCCTGCAACATCTCAATCATGGTAGCGCATCGTTTTTTTCACTGACTTTGGTTATATACTGGAGTATAGCTTTTATTCTTTATCCATATATCAATTTATCTTCGCCATATTCCGATACTGTTCTATTACTATAATTATATAATATTAAGCAACTTTCTAAACATAATCTATTCCAATATTTCACTAAACCTTCCGTAAACAGACATAACAGGTGAATCTTCCTTCAGGTTTCTCGCGTCGTGTTGGTCGTGCTGGTGGTGGTCGTCCTAGCGGCCGCAGCAGTGGCTCTCCCTGACCCCACGAAACGGCACTTGGGATACGGCTTGTACGGAGGATACGGCCTCGGAGGATTTGGCTTGGGAGGCTACGGAGGATACGGAGGCTATGGATCCCACTATCCCTATTACGGATCCTACTACGGATAGGTGAGAGCTTTGACAACGCTTTTCTGATTTTTTGAAAGTTTTATATCGTAAATTCTTATCCGAAATTTACTCTGATAGAATTGTACAATATTGGAGATTTTTTATTTTCATATTCGTTTTTTTGCAGGTATGGTGGCGTACATAGTGATCTCTGTACCTTTCTTCTACAAAATCCAAAATATCTTTGTCTTCAATAAAAAAAAAAAAATCGTGCCATTTTGTATTACTTATGTCCTTATGTTTAGAGCACTAGTAAAAAATTATATGACCGTGGATAATCTTGCAGTATGTAACATCTCCTGCTAAATGATAACTATCGTGGCAATACTTCGTCAATATTTTTAGTAATGTTGCAGAGAGTAAAACCATGTAATAGATATAAAATATTCTAGACAAGGCCTCTCTACAAACGGATTTCGAAATAATCAAATCTGTAAACATTCATAAATATAAGAATTTATGTCTAACACAATGGAGAACGTTAAATGGGTGGAGGTTGAAAAAAAACTGAGTATTATGAAAAGTGTTATGAAAATGGACGAAAATTGATTTACTTTTCGATAATTGAAAATGTAAAAGCTGTACTGTAATAGTAATGACAATAATAACAAAACGGAATGACTGTCGTAATAATAACAGTTATAATATTTAGTAATGATAATAATAATAATAACAATAACAC